TTTAATCGGGATCTTTTATAACCTTGCTTTTCTTCCTTCTGAATTGTATTTCCTTCAGTCCGATCATATGGACTTTGGAGTGGGATATCATAATAGGCTTGAAATTATATTTCGATTTACTAGTTACATTGTAGAGTTCTAAATAGTTCTGTCTATGGCACTTCTTTTTAATGAATTGAAATTGATTAAGCATTCAGGCTCTTTGAAAATTCTCTTTTGTCTCATTCTAGTTGGCCCGGGTGCGTAAAAAGTCAGCGGCACCAGGCCTCAAAGCCTCTGATTCCAAGGTCTCCCTCACCGCCCAAAGTGCATCCAATTCTAAATGGACTTTTGAAATGACCCAGGTTCTTATTAAGGCCGTGAATCTCTTCCCTGCTGGGACCCAGAAGCGGTAAAGTGATTATTTCTTTCTAGTTAGACATGAAAATGTCTTTCACTTTGAAATATCTTTATTTAGTCCCTTTCTTCCTTCTATAGATGGGAAGTTATTGCTGCTTATGTGAATCAGCACTCAGTAGGTGTTGAGGTAACAGCCAAAGAGGCACACAAACAGGCCAAATCTGTCAGTGAAAATTGTAGGTACTACTATTTGTTATTCGGTAGTATACCCATATTAGAGTGAGTATTATCTGGTTGCTTCCTTCTGCAGATGGTGCAATGAAACAAGAGACCAATGCAAAAGCCTTTCAGAACTTTGCAACAAGTACCAAACAATCAGATGCAACGAAATCGGTGACTATTACAGATCAAATTGAAGGTATGCACCCCCTTTTACCCTCTAATAGGCAATTGTTAAAGATTGTATGTCAATAAATCGATATAGAATGAGGGTGTTGAAGGTCTATACGGGTATGAGGGACAGACCAGTAAGTAGTAAAGAGTGGAAATGTGGAAGGAAACGCCCATGTTTCTACAATGGACATTGAACATGGGGTTAATTATATCTGACCTTTATTTTCCACATTGACTATGTTCATTATAATTGTATGATCCATGTTTCTAATTCTAGCTGAAGCCGAGAGACCTTGGACCCGGGCTGAACAAAGTGCCTTGGAAGCAGCCTTGCGTTCAAATCCAGCTAACCCTTGTGAACATCCTGCAGTTCGTTGGCAAAAAATTGCAAATGTGGTGGGCACACGTACTAGCAAGGAGTGTCTTCAACGGTACAAATACCTCGCTGAACAAGTATGTACCTCACCGATTCTAGCAATTATTACCCATTTCATTTAAAAATTTACTTTAAGTCTAAGCAGCCAGATTAAAATTGGATGTAGCCTTATTATACAATAA